TTAAAAAAGATAACTTTGTTATACTTCTGCTTAATCCGGACACTCTGTGTCAGGTCTGCACCATAATCACAGTTTAGAACTTTTGCCCCCTGCGACCTGCATTATACCATATACGTAAATTTTTCCTTAAATAATCCCCCTCCAACTCCTTGACGATGTGTTTTAATCATCATTTGCTTTTAAATATGAATTTTTTTTTTCTGAAAAAAAATATTCTGCTCATACATAAAATTTCAAAATGAAATTTTCATAAGTATAGAAGCACAATTATTTGAACAAACAATTCTTACTACTTTAAACGCGTTTTAAATAAAATAGCTTTGCTAGAGTCATCGGAATCATCAGCATCATTGAGGATATCAGATGCTGCCATATTCTCTCCAGATTACCCTTTGCAAGGAACTGATCTTGCTGGTGATCCTGCAAGACCTATGACTCCAGGAGCAGAAGATGATCCTGATGGAGGAGACCTCTTAATAGACAGCTCTTCACAGACCTTATGTAGAATCAGCAGCAGAACCAGATGATCCTAAGTTTGGAGACGCTACTCATTGTAGAGCAGCTCTTCACAGACCTGATGTAGAATCAGCAGCAGAACCAGATGATCATGAGTATGAAGACACCGCTCATTGTAGAGCAGCTCTTCACAGATCTGATGTGGAATCAGCAGCAAAACAGGATGAGCCTGATACGGGAGACACTGCTCCTAATAGAGCAGCTCTTCACAGATCTGTTGTAGAAGCAGCAGAAGTAGGAGATGATCTTAATGCAGGAGATGCTGCTCTTTATAGAGCAGCTCTTCAAAGAATTGTTATAGAAGCAGCAGAAGCAGGAGATGATCCTGATGCAGGAGACACTGCTCATTATAGACAGTTCTTCACAAACCTGTTGTGAGTCCAACAAAGGAAGCAGCTGAGAATGCAGTAGAAGCATCTCAGATTGCAGGAGCAGCTAAAGTAGCAGAGACTCTGGGAGCAGCTCAGATTGTAAAGGAAGCAGTTGAGAATGCGCAGTAGAAGTGTCTCAGGTTACAGGGGCAGCTAAAGTAGTCTAGACTTTGAGAGCAGCTCAAATAGCAAAGGAAGTAGCTGAGAATGCAGTAGAAGCATCTCAGATTGTAGGAGCAGCTAAAGTAGCACTAGCAGAGACTCTAGAGCAGCTCCGGTAACAAAGAAGCAGCCAAAAATCAATAGAAGCAGCTAAAGTAGAACAGACTATAGGAGTATCAAATGAACCAGCAGTAAATGTGGAAGCTGTTATTGAGAGATTGCTAAGAGATATATTTGAGTTCAAGGAAGCTGCTCAAATAGGTCCTGAACAGAAGCAGCTGAACGGGATATTTGAAGAAGCTGTTCAGATAGATCCTGATCCAGAGCAGCTGAACGAGATATTTGAGGTTGAGGAAGCTGCTCAAATAAATCCTGAACCAGAGCAGCTGAACTCAATATTTGAGTTTGTGGAGGCTTCTCAGATAGGTCCTGAACAGGAGCAGCTAAACAATGGTTTTCCAGAATCTAATAAAAAGCACAAGCTGATTTTAGATATTCTTGTGACCATCACAGCTGGGCAGAGAACCAAATACTTTCCTTAGCTGAACAGTGGTAGATTAATTGTGTAAAGATGTATATTATATATAAAAGTCTCAATGATGACAAACTCTATTTGTTAGTAAACCTGACCAATATTCAGAGATAGAGAATATAAAGGGATTTTAAGAGTACTGGGATCCAAGGTGAAAGTTTCACACACGCCCTACCCATGGGAGTAAAATGTGGATCCAGATTTTATATACCTGGATTGGGGAAATTAGTTCTTGAAAAAGTCAAGATAAACTAACATGATGTGATTAGAAGAATCACATTAATTTTTTCAGTGGCAAAATTGTTATAAAAGTCTCAAAAAAAACTTTCAGAAACCTTACAAAATTTTTTTTTCAGACATTGTCAAAATGGTGCGATTTGGAATAAGAACATAACAGAAAGTGCTCACATCATGCTATCAGAAAAGTAAGTTTATTATAAATAAAATATCAATATTGATAAATGCTTAAATTTATCTTCAATGTACATGAATTTCTTGACTAAATTATCTTTCAATTCAAGATTTGATTTTTTGAGTCTTATTAATTCAGTAAGAATTTAGGGAATTACAAATATAAAATAATGGTACAGAATATAGAAAAAAAAATTGGTTATTGTCTTTTTGTTATTGCTATTGATTTGCATTTGTCTCTGTATTTTCATGTAACACATACATTTGCCGTCAAACATGGATGCAATCAACTCAGTTGCAATCGAATCAATTGTAATCATTGCTCAGTACAATCAAAACTCAATTAAGCTATCAAAATCTATTTGCAATCAAAACTTATTGCTATTGCTTCAGAGCTTGATTGCTTCTGATTTTGATTGGAATAACATTTTATTGCTGGTCTGCACCAACTGTGTAGAACACTATTGATTTTTATTGCAACTGAGTATTAATTGCAATTGTTACTTAATGCATCTGATTTTAAATACAGTTAATTTTAATGAAAAAATTGTAAAAGACTGCAACCGATTTATTTGTACAATTGGTTTTATTGCAACTGACTTTAAAGCATCCAAGCGTCATTTTCTTTTGACCCATATTTGTTTTGTATATGATATAAATGCAAAAAAGATTTATTAAAATTTTGAATTTACAGAACCATGTATCAAATCATAAATTTAAACAACACAAAACCAGTTTCTATTTTCCACAGGGATAGTTAAGCTTTAGACAGAGATTAGTTCCATCTTTAGCGTAGCATCTTCCAGAGGTGCAGCTGGAGAGAATACCATTTATACTGTAGTTTCCAGTCCAGCTTCCTTTGCATGTTAGATCACACACTGTTTTTGCACATGGATAGTTCAAACTCTTACACAAATCAATACTTGAACTGGTAGCATAGCATACTCCGCGTGAACACTTAGAGGAGATACCATTTATTCTAAAATTTCCCGTCCAGCTACCTTTGCATGTTAGATCACACTTGGTGGGAGCGGGTGTTGGAGCAACTGTAGTGGGGGCACCACATGGATAATTAATGCTGCGGCATAAATCACTCCCATCTGTTGAACTGCAAATACCAAGGTTGCAGGTGACAGGGATATTATTAACCAGATATGAACCTGAAAATCTTCCTATACAGGTTATATCACATTTGGGACCTAATACTGGTGAAGCAGTTGTTGGAGCAGCAGTTGTAGGAGCAGCGGTTGTGGGGGGTTGAGGAGGGTTATTTTCACCACACCATCCATCCGCAACATTTGAGTTGATCCAGTTCAAAAAGCTGGTTACTCTAACATATACTCCAGCATATCCAGGCTTAGCACATCCATTACCGTAGGATACAACACCTACTAGTGTATACCTTCCATTTTCCTTTACAACTAAAGGTCCACCACTGTCTCCCTGACAGCTGTCTATTCCTTCAGTATATGCACACATCCTTGTGCTTGTGATTCTGTATGGTATACATGTGGCATCAGTGTCTGCTACAATATTGACTATAGCCTCCCTCAAATCATTGGATGTGCTTCCTCCAGATGACAAAGTACCCCAGCCTGACACTATGGCAGGTTCATTAACGTACTGTTTAGATGCATCTGTTGGTAAACATGCTGGCACTACATTATCATTGAAAACAACATCTTTTGAGAGTCGGAGTAGAGCAATATCGTTATTTGTTGGTTTTGATGTGTAGTCATCTCTTTCAATTATTGAAGCAACTGGAATATTTTGTTGTGCAATTGTCTCAATGGCTGAATTCCTACTAAAATCTCCAATTTTGACCTAAAATATATATTCATTTAATATCATTATTCAAATATTAATCACTACATTTACATAGTATAGCTTACCAAGACACTGCTAGCAGTAACATTAGAACTTACAACACAGTGCATAGCTGTGATAACATACTTTTTGTTTATCAGGGTTCCTAAACATATCAAGTTTTCCAATCTATTTCTTAATTAAATTTTTATATTGAATTTTTATTCTAACTTGCCTCCGCACATGTTGCAACCAGTAGCATAACAACTCTGAACGAACACTTGATAAGGAAGCTTGTTCTGTGGGGAAACAACCGATCCTCCAACAATCCTTCCTGCTGCTGGATTTGGGTTGCTCACAGAATATACACAACCACAATCAGTTGTAGCTCTATCTAATGCTTGTTTCATTGGGGTCAACAGGTTTGGGTCAACAATATCAGTTTCGTTGATGACCAACTGAAATTCAACTTTTGGTGTCAACAGACTTGGATCTATTTCTGAAATAATCAATACTTCACTCTTTTTGGAAAACAGACTTTATATTTCGCACAAAGGGTATTTAAGAAGGAAGAAACAAAAAGGGCTATTTCTACTATACCTATTATCTAGATTGTAGATAATTAGAAAATTACTAATAAAAATAAAGATGATACTGCACATCTACTTTTTTGGACTGTTTTATTGAAAATGGAAATACTCCTCATAAAAATTTCAATGAAGTAATCACCTCTTGATAATTGTAAATAAGGTTAATGGATATGCTTTTTATATCTCAAAGACAAAGGGCATGGCTTTAGAAATAACTCTGACATGTATACAGCTTTATACACTAGATGGTAACCCAATCATAAAATGTGTCCCTTTATACCTAGATGACTACTGAATATTAGTACCACATATTTTGAAGAATAGAACAATTATTTTTTGAAAAAGTTTAGATAGTTTTTTTTTTGATACCAGTGTCATTGACGATAAGCTCGACTTCCATTTTATCCATCATGTCCTCCATGGATCCGGTTTCAACTTGAACAATGTCTATTCCAGGCATTGCACTCTTAGCCTAGATTATACATTTAACCGCCTTGGGGAAAGACAATTGATATCACTATCAAAGTAGCGGAAATATTTTTTACTTAACTGGAATTTGGGTATAATTAGGTAAAATAAAATCCCGCTCTGCTAGTTTTGTAAAAAAAAGAGAGAATTAAGTAAAGTTTATGTAAATAATTGAAAATGGTGGCCATTTCAATAGTTCTGGAATGTAGGGATAAACAAAGATTTTTATTTGTATCTTTTAAAAAACTTTCATGAATGATATACGCAAGTGAAATTTTTTTTTGCTTAATTGGATTCCTTCCAACTAACAGTTTAAAACTAAAACTAGTTTTTCCTGTGCCCTATATGGAAATAATAAAGATTTAAATTCAAGAATATTGTAATTTAACCTCTTAACATATAGACATATGAGTCAAAATAATACCGAATAATCTGTTTAAAAACTGAATTTTGAAAAGAGTAATAAAAACTAATATGGAAATGTAACCTAAACCATTCTACCTGGGCTAACCCAGCATACAGGAATGTTAAAAACAGAACAGTAACCATCTTAATAATTATAAAATAAAATACAAATATTTTGTCTTCGTTTATTAGATTATTTAGAGGGCAATCATAAATATATTTTGCTTGTTTGTTTGTCATTTTGTCGGTCTATTTGTTTCTAATAAAAATCAACCGATTATTATTTATGTTTATGGCTGGAAGACGCTGAAAAAATTTGCCAAGAAAAATATAAATATTTACAAATTTTTAAAATCCATTATTTCAAACAGAAAAGCTTGAAATTTTGTTTCTTAGACATGACGAAAAAAGCAACATTTTAAGCTAAATTGCTATGAGAAAAAGAGACACCCCAAAAAACTAGTTGTGAAAATTTTAAACTTTCTTAATGTAAGTCTTACCATTGCAGCTAGCTACAGAGAAGTGACATGCTACTTCACTTCCTTGGTTTATATACCACAGTAACACTTGGTCCGAAATGTTTACATTTATAAATAACATTCAATTGAAAAAAGGAATAAATATTTGCTTACGGCGGCTTCAATATAGATCATTGTGAAATATATACCTATTGTACTAATTTTCATCTGTTTATTAAATGACGTGTTTTATCAACCATTTGAGGTCCAAAAAATCTAATCTTAAAAAATAATCCAAATGTGTTTTATTAGAATGCATACATCTAAAATGTTGAATCTAGATTTGTTTGTATTCAACAATTTTTTTTGTTTCACAGAAAAATCCTATAATTTCTTGAATTTCAATTGTCTCTTTAGATAGGTACTTATTCATATGGATTATGTAAATCTCAACTCAACTATGTAAAAATTATACCCAACAAAATTAATCAGGGGTTTATAAAGGATTGTTCAGTTAAAGGAGGTCTCAATGTTTATCAAAGGTTGGTTTCCCTGATTAGGTTATGCAAGTTACAGTCCCTAGGGTGTCTAAAGTTATTAGGTTGGTTTCCCTAGGGAGAATGTTACGCAAGTTAAGATCCCTAGGGTGTCTAAAGTTATCAGATTGGTTTCCCATAGGGAGATTAGGTTACGCAAGTTACGGTCCTTAGGGCATCTAAAGTTATCAGGTTGGTTTCCCTAGGGAGATTAGGTTACGCAAGTTACAGTCTCTAGGGCGTCTAAAGTTATCAGGTTGGTTTCCCTAGGGAGATTAGGTTACGCAAGTTGCGGTACCCTAGGGAGTCTAAAGTTATCAGGTTGGTATCCCAAGGGAGATTAGGTTACGCAAGTTGCGGTACCCTAGGGAGTCTAAAGTTATCAGGTTGGTTTCCCTAGGGAGATTAGGTTACGCAAGTTACGGTCCTTAGGGCATCTAAAGTTATCAGGTTGGTTTCCCTAGAGAGATTAGGTTACGAAAGTTACGGTGCCTAGGGTGTCTAAAGTTATCAGATTGGTTTCCCTAGGGAGATTAGGTTACGCAAGTTGCGGTACCCTAGGGAGTCTAAAGTTATCAGATTGGTTTCCCTAGGGAGATTAGGTTATGCAAGTTACGGTCCCTAGGGTGTCTAAAGTTATCAGATTGGTTTCCCTAGGGAGATTAGGTTATGCAAGTTACGGTCCTTAGGGCTTATTTGTATCCCACACATGTTTAATTTTAGAACTGAACAATTTAAGGAGTAATTGGATACAACTTGATTTTTAATTAAAGTTTTTAATTTTGGTTTTCTGCACTGCATGCTTTGTGAGGAATTTTACAAAAAATCCATCCTGATGAAGTTGCAGTTGCAGATTTCTGAAATGTAACATAGCATTTTACCAACTCAAAATTACATTTGTCAATTTTAAAATAATCAAAACGGAAAAAAAATTCAGCCGCAGCAAATGACTTAAATATCTGAAGATTATATTAAACAAATTTTTAAGTAGAAGTTTTGAACGTAGAATTTGCACTCAAACTCAGGATTTACAGATCTTTAAAAAGTTTAATATGTCTCAAATGAATCCGAAAGAAGTTATCCACAACACTGCATACTCAGTTCAACTTAACCTTACATAGCCGGTCACTCCCTTTAAATTTGTGAGAAATGAGAATGCATATGCATGTGCATGTGTTTCGGACAAAAAATCGCCATCGTTCCACAGTCAAGGCCCAAGAGTGGCTTAAAAAGCAGACACACATGGGCCTTTTAGCCTCATTGACCAAAACTTTGATGAAATTGTGAAAGAAAAGTTTTGATAAAAATCCCAAAAATTTGGATAGTGTGAGCACTGAGCATTTGAAAGGTGAACAATCCCTTTCATCATTTTTTTGTAAATATTTTGCTTTCCAAAAAAATATTTGAACAGTTGTTAAAATATGAAAAATATCTGTAAAGTTATATACTCGAATCTATTGTCTACTCCATAACATAAAAGGTGTGTTTTGTATTCATCACAGGGGATAAAGTTTCAAACCTTGCTTCAGAACGATGGAGAAATGAAGGTTTCAAAGGTACATCGGAAATGCCACTCTATAAATGGAGGGTCACTTGAAATTATATGACGGTCTTGTACCATCAGTGTAAGCTTAACTAAAGTTAGAAATGTAAAGTGGTGAGGTAGGTTCAGTGGCCTGCGTACGGGAATTTGTCCAGTGGGGGCTTAAGATTTTCTTATGAGAAGGGGGGCTCAGAGACAGAACCCCTCCAGAAACCATAGATTTGACTGATTCAGGGGGCCGAGCCCCATAGCCCCCTCGATCTAAAATACCATGATGCGATAAAAAAGTAATTAAGTTAATGTGGAAGGGGGCAAAAAAAGTGTATTAACTACTCTACCATGAAAAAACTACCTTACCAATTCAGGATTTTTTTGGTTTGTGGTAAATTGTGTTGGAAAAATCTTTCTATTCATTTGCTTAATTGGATTCCTTCCAACTAACAGTTTNTTGTGTTGGAAAAATCTTTCTATTCATTCAGTTTGTGGTAAATTGTGTTGGAAAAATCTTTCTATTCATTCAGTTTGTGGTAAATTTGTGTTGGAAAAATCTTTCTATTCATTCAGTTTGTGGTAAATTGTGTTGGAAAAATCTTTCTATTCATTCAGTTTGTGGTAAATTTGTGTTGGAAAAATCTTAAACGATATTTTAGGGGAAATTTTTTTAGTCTGGGGAAATCTTAAATCTTTGTTTTTGGGGCAAATTTTATTTTTGAGTGTTTTTTTTCAATTTGGTGAATTTTGTGTATGGGAAATCTTAAATCTTTATTTTGGGGTACATTCTTTTTACTTTTTTTATTTTTGAAATTTATAAAGAGGCATTTTTTTAAAACTAAGGGTATAATTTTTAAGCGCGCACTATCAAAATAAAACAATTGGGGCCTTTTTTAGTTATATGGCTGTAAATTTGTATGGTTGTATATATAAAAAACATTTTGAGATAAAAAATTAAATTTATAGGTGCAAATTAAAAATATTTGTGGCAAATTCTAAAAAAAAAACAAGGGTTACAAGTGTGGAAAAAGGGGGAAAATTTAAGTCTGGTAGGGCAATTCGAATAAGAATGTGTAGAGTGTAATTTAAAAAATCCAAATTTGGAGGCAGTTTTTAAAGAATAAATAAAAAGAATCTGAGCTTATATATTGAAAAATGTTATAGTTGAATTTGAGATTAAGATTACTGTAAGAGCAAACTTTTTTTTTTTCGAGAAAAACAGCAATTTTTTAAAACTATATAATGGATCCCCCTGAGGACTTCTTAAGGGGGGCATTACCCCTATGCCCCCCTCTAGTTACTTGCCGGGGGGGGGGGGGGTGAAGTTGATGTACAAGCTGCAGTTTGAATTGCATGTATTTATATATGGTCCGTCCAGATTATGGAATTTTAACCACGGCAACATTTGCTTCGGGGCAATTAATTATATTTTAAACAAAATCTAGACTTTCTTTTTGGGATTAAATAACTTAATAAGTATATACAGCCCCCCCCCCCCTCTGAGTGTAAAACCATGCTGCAATACCTTTATTCTAAGTATTTTCAATAAAATCATTAATTCAAATTAGTTCCAATTCCCTTTCGTGGATTTCGGGGTACAACACCGCAGATATATTTTATCATTTATTTCCTCCCATGTCGGCATATGTCTATGGCGTGACGGTACGGCTGTCTAAGTTTAGTTAAATTAAAAACCGGTTTCCAGGCGCAGCTGACTACTTAGATACTCACTCACTACTCAGTTTGCTAGAGTAAGGAGGGGGGTGAACTAGGGTGTGTTTGAGCTGGAATGTGGATAAATGGCATAATTTTCGGATTAGTCATTCATAAATTCGGAATTCAGTGTTCAAATCTTGGTATTAAAGTGAATAGATACATGACTAAACAATTTTCTTAACTTTTTCATTATATTATCTAACATTTATTTGAATTCGATATAAATTCTTTCTTTAAGTGTGTAAAAATAGATTATTGCGTGTGCGTGCGCGTACATTTAAATAAAATTGTTGTTGCTGATTTAAAGTCAATTAAGGTATCCACGTTATTATTTTTTATTGATTGATTTTTATATCTTGGGTCGGTATATTCCATCAATTTTGTACATGGGTCTGACAGGAAGTGTCTTAACTTAACCTAACCCGTGGCCGCAGCGCTCGGCCCAGAAAGTGTCTTAACTAACCTAACCCTAAATAATACTAAATAAATACTAATTTGGTCAAGTACAAAATTGATAGGAGGGGGGGTTACAAATATTAGATACAAATATTATATACAAATATTATATACAAACATTATAAACAAATATTATATACAAATATTATATACAAATATTAGAAACAAATATATTTGATACGAATATTAGATACAAATATTAGATACAAATATTAGATACAAATATTAATACAAATATTAAATACAAAAAATAATATACATATTAGATACAATTATTAATACAAATAATAATATAATCTTTGTGAAGAAACAATCTCAAGAACTGACGAGGGTCAACCCAGACCGAAATATATTTTCAATAAATGTGGAACTAACATCTACTTTTTACTCTACAGAGGTTTGGTCCATCACCATCACCGAATTTTAAATAATAATATATATGAGATACAAATATTATGTACAAATACTATTTACAAATATTATGTACAAATACTATTTACAAATATTATGTACAAATATGAAATGTAAAACAAACTTAACAAACTTTGCATTCTCGAAATTGATTTCAGAAATAAAAAACTTTGCGTGTGAAATGTTTGAATATGATTTCTTCTGAAACCGGATTTTCCGTTCCCTGGGCTATATCGAAGCATGAAAACAATCAGGCAGAAAGGATTTAAACCAAGCCGATTGTTCAAAGTTAGAATTTCTCAGAATGCATAATTGCACTAAATACCTAAATCAAATATTTTAAACTCTTGTTTCTACAAGTATTGCCTTTTTTTAAAGTGATCGATTCTCACTTAGTTTTAAGTGAACTGTCATTTAACGATTGCTTTTAACGATTCACAATCGTGACTTAATAACCTTAATCTTAATCGTTAAGGTCGTGAAGTGTCGACAATCGACATTTTTTTAATGTCAGAAACTGATAATTGCTCGTAGATTTCTACACAATACCCCTTTTTACTGATATCTCACTAACATTGCCGACAAGTCGAGAAATAGTTTTAATAGTTTAATAGTTTTGTGCATCTAGACAAAAACATTTAAATTGCATCATATTTATTGTACCTTAAATATTTACACTCGCCTTTTATCTTAATATAACAGATTAATCTTATTTTTCCGTTTATCACAATATGAGCTATTATGTAAGAACTTATAAATCTATTTGAATTCCTTTCGTCCTTTTGTTGTTTGGCTGTCTGTCTTTCGGTCTATCTGTGTGTGTGTGAACGGTATTGAAATCATAATGCATGACGGTCTTGTACCATCAGTGTAAGCTTAACT